CTAACGTACCTCAGTGGCCGAGTGGATAACGCTCTGTCGTTTGAGGGGAATGGTGTTTTCCCTGGATTTCATTTGGGAAAAATAACACTCGTCGGGGTGCAGAGACATTCATCTGACCAGTATTTAATAGGAGGAATTGTGTGCTCTAGATCCCATTATCACCCACCACCAAGCAAATTACACCATATAAGGATAGTACTAATGAAAATGATGATAATGATCACTGAATGGTTATCTATACATCGACTTTCATAGTTTTTTATGTCTTTTCAATTTCACTAGCTTTGTTCAGAGACCATGGGTGCCAGTGAATATAGATTACATGTGAGGCTTCTTTTTAAAAGTAATATTTTTCAGGTTAAACATTTAAAGTATATGATGGACAGGCCGACATAGCACTGTTGAATGATGAGATTGTTTTTTCCACAAACTTTAGAAATAGTCGCGAGAAAGATTACTTAGGGAGATGCTTCACATGATTTTAAGGTCAGTAATTGTAGTCCATTTTTCCATCTTGTTTGAATCTCTCATCATATTATTGTTTGATCAGAAAATAAGAAATTTACTCACCTTAGTCAATAAAGAATTTCAAAGTATTCGGTGGTAATACGATTCAAGATTTTGTGAGTTTTTTCAACATGTATAAATCGAGACAGAGGTTGTATAACAGGCAACAGACTTTCTGAATCGATTATGTGTTCTTGACTTCGTATACTCCTTTCAAGTAATGCTCTAGGGAATATGACAAGTGTTAATTTTCAATCGAAGCATGAGCCATATATGAAGATAAACATCGAAAATATCTAATCATTATGAAAACCTTGCCCACTAATTAGTCATGGGATGAATATTAACAATAAGGTGACAAGGTCTGAAAATATAGAAGTTCATAATAATGACGGAAAGTGTCTAGGAGTGGAATGCAGGACGCGCGTTTCGTTCTATTTGGGACTCGTCAGATGGATGTACCTGCCTTTCAGTCAGCGATTTTGTGCCCACCAAGACTCGGACACGGGATCGATATCTTCAAACACCAGATTTTTATCCACTAGGACAGTGAGTCAAGATAGCCACTTCTTGTACAAAGAGTATAATACAAGCAAGAAAATATAGCAGTTTATCCTAAATCAGGTGAATGTTTTGCTCCTGAGAAGTTTTAAAACCTAGAAGGAACAGATGTTTAATACTTCACAAGTCTCATGGTTCTCTGTTTGGTGTCAGTCATTGATAGTTAACTAACTTCAAAGAGTTAGCATAAAAATGAACACCTACCCTTCAGTAATGCAACCTGAATCGATAATTCAATAACTTTAAGTCTTTATTTTTTTCTAGAGTTCCACAAAGAAGAGTTGCCCATGCGTCTAGTTCTGTATGCCTGGATCACCATATCATCCTGTGGTATATGGATTAGCGAAATTCTGGAACTAGTCAGATGGATAGTAGCTAATCACCGCTCAAACGATGCTTTCATATGGATAGAAAAGGTGAAGGTCTCATGCAAACTTACTGATTCTAATAGCCTACATGTTAGCATATCTAATAAGTATATTCTGTAGTTTATCCTAGGTGTCCAGTCTGTACTAAATAGAGAAGTATATCAATCGATCGATGAAGTAGCAATGCGTCTGTTCTTCTACTCATCCTTCCTGACAGTGTCATGGCCTACTTGTAGGTAACTTCTAATCCACTATGTATCAGTTGAACAAAATTTTGCAACTATTCAATAATGCTCACCGACCAATTAGTTTTATGCCTGAAATCCGGTTGTTATGTCAATTTACCTTCCTAGATGTTCAGTTCTCGAGGTGAAGTGATTAAAGATCGATTTGTCATACACCCGAATACATGATCAGCTGATAAGCTTCTGCATTTTCCCCTGCAAACAGCAAAAGAGAATGTTATTACCTCTTTTGTAACAAGAAGTTACCCTACATGCACGTAAAAGACATTAGATAAAGAATTAGAATTCTCTAGAAAATCTCTACCTTAAAATGGCTATCCAATTCCATTTACTGATAAGCAAATGAAAAATAAGCCTGATGTCCCACACGACTCAACAGTACCTGAGAACCACCTACGTATGAAAATTGAATTCAACGGTAATATATGTGGTCAAGTCTTATGAGTTTGTTTGTCAAAAGTAATTAGAAAAACTTTTTAATGCATCAATGCAGCTTTTCTCCATCCACATACACTCTTCATCAGTCTGTCAAATAAAAAGATCCACTGTTAGTAGCATCCCTATGTGAAGATAAATATGTTTATTTCTGTAGAGCTAAGAACATCGGCCATTTCTAAAGGATACTGTCAAGTAATGCTAATGAACATTTACCACTATGGTTGCCTTGAACAGAATTTAATGACTGAATGGTAACGTTCTTGCGGTGACACCTGAAGATCCTACATTAGATTCCCCACAAGGTTGTATGCTTGAACAGCTAAAAGGTCTCTAACTCACAGGAAAAGAATGTCCAGTGCTACCAGGTTTCCAAACATTATCCAACTGATGTCTGTATGTGATGTAAACTACCTTGATACATGAGATTGTTAACTCTTATAGTAGAATGTTCTTGTTTTCCAATCAACAGTTTAATATGCTTCGTTACTTACTGACACTAAACTTTCACCACTGTAGGCATTTTTCATGATATATAACTCTACAGGTATGATGAGAAGTTACGAAAAGGGTCCTTTTTGTTAATCAGTCTTTTTTCTTCTAATCATATGGGCATCTTTCATAGGATGCAAAAAGCCTTTAGAAGATTCTTGAATTATCTGACTGCTGGTGGGTCTTTTGAAAAACTAAGTCAAATCTCTTCTCTGTCTCTGTGATATCTGTGTGTTGACAGTTTGGTCGACTTTCTGGTCAAAACTTTGTTCTAGGTTTCCTATTGTATCTTATGATTAACGGACTCAGGGGGATGCTCAATGCTAGTCCTAACTTGTATTAAATACCCGAGTTGCTGCGCGCAACTTCATCCTACAATCTCTCACGTCATGTAACTGACCTATAAAGAAGATGAACTTAGACGATCAGCCCATACAATGCACAGTTATTTCTATTTAACCGAACCGAATGACTTTAAAGGCCACCCTAGGAACGATTGAAATAAACCCTAGCCGACAACCGAATATCACGGCGGTGCCACAAGAGAATAAGCTGGCGAAAGCCAATTGAGCCTTTTGTATCCGTGCATGGATTTCGCCGGCCACTGACCCACCTGGGCTGATTCCACTTCCCAGGTAAGTGAAGTGGTTAGTACACTCAACCACTACACTCTCTGTTGTTAGCCGAAGCACTGTTGAGGACTAGTCCTAGAGCAACAATTTGCAGTTGTGTGGTGAGAAACGTATCCTAAGCATTCTCAAATTGCCACCCCAGGTGTCTAGAAGACTCAATGTCTTGTTGGCTCTTCACCTACCAGGATTGTCACCTAACTCATTTACCAAGTATTCTCCTATGATTAGATCACTCCCTTTGATGTCAGATGAAGATAGGGATACTTCCATAAAAATATCTATGGCAAATTCATCAGGGATGGAGAGAAAGGGTATTCTTGACGGACATTACCTGATAACCCACCATGGGCCCTAACACGCCTAGGGCAATCGAGTAAAAAGCCTTTAACAGAGTGATGTACTTATTCAGTGCCTCTTTGAGTGAGAGATACTGCCATAAGATCTCTTGATCGACAAAGTCGAACACCACCTTCAAGTAGAGAAATGAAGTAAATATCGTGCGTCGGTATATGTGTCTGCGTTCCAGAACTTGGTAGAGTGTGAATATCTGGTCAACACACCCACAACCGAGCGTGAAGCCCGCCTGGTTTTCTCTCCCCGAGCTTCACTCAAACGTCTAACGAGTGTTGAACTTAGAATATTAATTTGCCGAAATGTTGCCCCAGAGGTCTTAATTTAATGGTCATTGTCAGTTTGCTTCAAACGGAAACTGTATTAGCACCAGTTTTGTTTGCGGGAAATGTTAACCTGAACGACAAAACCTTTGATTTTTCTACAAACTGTTACTCCACTCCCGAAAGTGAGCACTAATAGTATATATAAATTATAATTTATACTGAAATACTGCATATTAAGAGATAGTTTTGGTATGTATCTGTGTATTCGTAAATTTACTTGTACTACAGTATACTATCAATCAATAAAACCAATCAACGACCGGAAATTACAAGCAGTTACATTCAAGCTACGTCCATCGCACATAGAGTGGCTATCGTGACTCAGTGATCTAGTGGATGACGCTCTGGAGTTTGAAGCGATGGGTTCTAGGTTCGAGTATTAGTGAGAATTCACTGGGAGGCAGGAACATCCAGTTGATGAGACCGATATGGGGTGAAACACGTGCTGAATTCCACGGCCTTATTCCATCCATCACTATTATCAAAATGCTACCTATTTAGTTCCTATGGCGTGAAACAATGGTTCATCTGATTAATTATTCCAGTCCCACCCAAAGGATCTAAAATCCAGCTTGAATCACCAAGGTTCTACAGGCGATGCATCATATGACAGCACAACAGCAATTTAGAAAACCATAAGTTCGCCGTATGCTGCGTGCGATTTATCTATCCCTTTTAATTTCATCTTCACGATTGGTTAAAGGAGGAAGAGATTTAATTTTCCTTACTGGTCCAATAATCAGACCCCTTAATATACATCAACTGCTGATACGGAGTTTACTCCTTCAGTGGGGGGGGGAGGAATACTGTTTGGTAAGAAATATTTTTGTCCTCTTTTCATTTGATAATTGACTGCCTCAAAAGTGGATTTCCTCAATTTTGACCATTGTGTAAAGCCAATACTTGGAAGACAGGAGCGCACAAATAAATGAATAATAACACACACACACACACAAGACATGCTTCATAGACAAACAAGCGAACAAACTTTGCCTGTTCCTATTTCTAATGGTATATAGGGTCAACACATGTGTATGTATGTCTTGAGCCAGAAAGCCAATCCAGCTTCAGGATTTTGGATGTCAACTCCGCCCCACAAACAGATACAAATAAGCAGTGTTAAAATCAGGCAACGAATAATTCAATTTCTCTGGATCAAGTGTGCAGCCTACTTACATAGGAGTGTTTTTATGTATCTGTGCCTGTGGTGTGTTTGTGTGTGTGTACACATTTTGGTGCTGATGTATGTAATTCTGCTTCAATCGAAAGTTACAACCAGACAATTTCATCCCTCTTCACTTCTTTATATATATATTAAGTTGTACAATTAGATTTCTTGATCAACCTTTCAGATTCTTCTATCATCCATCCTTTACATGTATACTGGCTTCTATCGTCGATTGACGACAAAATCAGTGCATTAAAAAGAATAACGCATATAATAAATTATTCGCAGACGTTAACGAAATACTGTAGAGAGAACTGTTACACACAAGGATTCCATTTGTATTTTCACCTTATTTTTAAATGACTGATATTACACGTGATTGTGTAGTGGAGACAGTTCCCTGTGGACACAATTACACAACTTCTTCCATTCATAATGCTACAACAAGTTTGGGGTGAGTATCTTATAGTTGTCTTGTTTTATTGTGTATGTTAAAAAATTTCTTAATTTATACACTGAATCTTATTAAGCATAGATGACTGGTGAAGAAAATAGTGAAGGGAAACTCAATGCCAGGACTAGTGTTGTAAATGTTCTCAGTTGAGTTCCAACTAAGTTATTTTGATGAATAGTAGAAATTCTCTAGTACTGTAGGTGTTTTAATCTTGTAGGCTATACACAGTATTTGCTAGTAGTATCAATGAAAACTCTGTAAACAGTTTAAAGTTGTAGTCTCTTAGGCTAAACATAGAGTACACACATCTGGGTCATTCAACGTTCTACATTGTAGTTGACAGCAGTTACGTAGTTACCCTGCCCGGTACCATAAATTACACACTTGATTACCCAGTTCATACTTCATAATGAATGAAAGGAAATTATTAGACTCGTTTTTACTAAACACTGTTGAAATAACCAACTTCAATTCGTCTTGATAGGCAATATGGACAGAATAGTGTTAAGCATCGATGAAAGTTGACACATTTCAACATAGCCACAGTTCATGTGTTTTGAAAAGAATAGAGATGTATCTCAATAGGAATCTGATCAACTTCTGATATTTTCCACAACACTAAGATATTGTTAAACACAAAGTCACACACCTGGTTTCGTTTATTGCTAAATAAGAGATTGTACCGAGATGAGGTTTGTAGATCAGTATTAGTGTGCGGTAATCAAATCAGACAAACCATATGCTTACTTCGAGATACAGTATTACTTGATCGTAGTTAACAATCAGATATTTTAGAGCTGTCTTCTGCTGACCAGTTTTCATTGGAAATTAGATATTTTTTATACGTATCACCTATTTGGGTTATACTGGAACGTACTATGAAGTGAGATAATCTCCTACACCAAGAAGTTTAAGGATACTGACCAATAAAATCTTTGTTGACGATTTTTACATTTGTCTATCATGGGAATACTTGTTGATAAATATTGTGTAATGAGTGAATTTTTGGCCTTCAAAAGGGTTGAAGAAAATCGTAACAAAGTTGAGAATGATCAGACATGATATGTTTTGACAACTCAAGGATTTCATCTGTTTACCAACAATCTCAACTAAAACTGGAGGTGGACAGTGTATGTGATTAGCAATATTCCCATGCAAAAATTGTCCATGACGAAACCACCATTTCAATCCTACTTCAAGATGATATGACATAAAGTTAGAATCAGGGGATAAACAATTTCTGAAATATTCCTAAATAATTTGAGTAGTGTAATTATGAATTATGTCTAATGTCGGAGAAACTCGAAGATCTACAGGCGAAAACTAACAAGTTGACAGAAGAGGCAGGGCAGCGAAAATGGGACTTCAAGTAAATGTAGAGAAGACGGAGATGATGAAGACACCCAACCAACAACAGCATTAATAACAAACACCGATCACCATTAACGGGAGAAACCCAAAGGAAGTTGTCTCTTTCACCTATGTAGGCAGGCAGCATCGTTTCAACTACAGGTGGCACAGGCACAGACGAGGATATCAAAACCAGGATCGGAAAGACAGAAAGACAGTCTTTCATTAATCTGAAATCAGTGTGAAGATCTACTGCACTCGGCACAAAGAACAAGATCCAGATTTTCAACGCTTGCAGTCAACTGAGTCAGTGCTTCTATGTGATGGTTCAGAACTTGGTGGGTCACGAAAAGCATTTCCAACAAACTGCAGACATCAACAACGGCATGTGCTCGATACTGAAGATCAGATCAGATCAGATGGCCAGAATAATAAGGATAAGCAATAAGGAACTGTGGCCTGGGAATGAACCAACCAACAACCTATCACCCAACAAATATGCAGAAGGAGAAAGTGGAGATGGATTGGGCATACTCTGAGAAGGCCGACAGAGGACATCACGTGCCAGGCCAGGCCAGGCCAGATGCTCGAGTAGAATCCAAAGGGGAAACGACGAGTTGGGTGTCCGAGGTGAGGGTGATATGGAGGAGATGGTATGAGGAAGAAATGAGAGGTTGTGGGCAGTCATGGAGCGAGGTTGAAAGACTGCAGAGGAGAGAGTGTAATGGAGGCATGCCACTGAAGCCCTATGTTCCACTAGGAACCCAAGGAAAATAACAGTAATAGATCATTATTTCTGCAGTTTCTCAACCCGTAAATCTTGAAAGGATTCCACGTATGTGTTACTGTCTGCTGTATGACGAGGTTGTAAGCATATGCGGAATACAGGAGCTGGGGCTTGTGGCGCCAAGTTCAGAGGTTACGTCAAGAATAGACGTGGAATTAAGCTGCGTAAGAAGGCGTAGACTATTTTGCAGCATTCGGCGGGATATTTCACCATCACAGGAGACATGGCTTACTGATGACCACAACAATACACATTTCTCGTTACAAATCTGTTCTCCAGTCGTTTATTTCTTCTTTCCCTTTAACTTCCTCTTTCTGTGATATGGAAAGTAGTGATCACGTAATAATCGATGGTTCTGCTCCGTAGTAGTGCCTGTCTTTCACTATGGCTTTCAGTGTAAAACTGGATATGTGGAGGCTGTGTTCATAGATAAATCGGATAAAATTTATTTCATTTAGGCGTAAAAGCGTTGTATACTTTAGATTCATCTCAGTTGTAACAGGCAGGTTATTGATACTAGACCTAACTACAACCATAATAGTGTAGATGGCATCAAATCATCGGTTAGTTTGGTACATCAAGCAAAATTAAAGACCCAAAATGAGGACTAGGAAACCTAAATATGATGCAAGCTTTTTACGCCATATTTACTTGAACTTTTTCGGTTTCACTAAGCACTATATATCCTATATAACCAAGTGCGCAACCCTAATAAATTACAAGTCTTCAATCCATGTATGCCGTATCTCGTATAGTAAAATAGTTATGTATGCGATAACACCTTAGGCGTATTAATAGTCAAACTAACAATTTGCTGATTATATTTACTTCGAACCAGCAAGTTTCTCAAGTGTACCATAAAATGAGAAAGAGTTATTCAGTATTACTTAGTTATTAAAAGTGCCTATTGGAGAAGGATTGGTCGTATTTAGGTATGTGACAAGCCAAGACAAAGAGCTACTCTACAGTATCAGTGTCTGTCGGTCGAAAAGTCTAGGCATTGATTGATGTGGACAGAATAGACAAGAAGTCATAGCTTTTCCTCTATGATCTCTAAACACGTGTATCTCGAAATTCGGTGTTATGTTGTTGATTGAACCGAATTGATCAGTCTCTGTTGGCATATGGACTCTTACGCGGAAGCCTCGATGTTCGCTGTTTCAATTTTATATTAATGATGGATAGGGGCTGGCAGTAGAATCTAGAAAGTGCGTTTCTTCCTATTTGGAACTTGTCAGCTGAACGTACCAACCTCTCAGTGAGTGTTGTTCCCACTAATACAAGTAGCAACATGAAAACTATGCCCATCGCAAAAGAATTGGCTATCGTGACTTGGTGACCTAGTGGATAACGATCTGGCGTTTGAGGCGATCGGTCCCGGTTCGAGTCATAGGGGGAACAACACTGCTCACTGAGAGGTAAATACATCCAGCTGACGAGTTCTAAATAGTCCAAAACGCTAGTTCTGGATTCCACTGATAAACACCATTCATTATTGATATAACTTCGTGTTATTTTGTCAGTTACAGGTTGTCTTCCATAGATGAGACCATTTAATCACTGCAACCTCCGAGTACAGAATTCAAAGGTCGTTTGTAGACACAATTCCTGAAAACGCATATAACTGTGACTAGGTGGTAACTATTCATTCAGATAACATCCGGGAAACAATCAGTTTACCACGGTTCCATCACCGACCCAAGCTGGTAGTGTTTATCATGATGAAATTCAGTAACTTGAATGTAGTTCTCCAATGGGTAATAAGATTCAATTAGGCTTCAGGTATACTTTCCTGATGGCTCAACAAGTACAAAACTTGTATTTAAAATTTCCTGTAAATCGCCTTTAATTATCTGAGAGAGAAAAATATATATCTTGATTTAGCTGTCAATAATTAAAGAAAGGAGTCAAGTTACTAAGTCTGCAGATCGTTGAACTGATAACCAGCAGATTACTCTCCTTCTCGCTCAACTTCAAACATCCGTGTCTGCGTAAGTTCGTCTGTTAGCTGAGATGAAATCCGATAGTTAACCAGTTAATTCATGAGGAAAATATTCAACAATCAATGGATTAATATCAAAATTTAAAATAGTTTGGATTGTTGAGAGAGGTGTAATGAGATTCTGGTTGAAGTATAGATCAGAGTCGACTGAATAATACTAAATTTGAACACAAATAGATAAGATTTGCACACATTATTCAGTCACAAAATCAATTCATGTCCCACTAATAATCATATATTCTTATAGGGATCAGCTTCTTGAATAGAATTTGTTCATTTGTGTTGTTCAAACTTATCATCATTATCAACTCCATAAGTGTGTTAGGGAATCGTTTTTCTAATACTCATGCCTACAAATAAACGTGTTACAACATGCTTTTTTTCTCTCATATCCTCATTATAAATTTCTTTCATGCAATATTTCTGCCTTATCTTTTTTTTCTGGGATGAGATCGGATAGGGAGGACACGATGATTAGATAGGTAGGTTGTTGACGTGAAAACATAGTAATCGCTTTATTCTAAGCTTCTCACTGACTAGGCACACACACACACATACATGTTCATATATCTTCTCCAAAACTATAAGTACAAATATTCAGTAATTTGCTTTTATATATGAAAAATTCTTTAAAAAGGCTAAAAGCTACTTATGTATTTATGTGCAATCAATTAACAAAGTTCATTCAAACACGTACACACACGTTTTTACTAAGAATGCATAAATAAAGACGTAGATATTAATTGGTATCATATTTATGATCAAGCCTTCGTTGTTCATCTGCCTATGGATGATGGCTGAGGATGAAAGAGTGCTGTTCCACATAAGGATTCGGACTAGTGCTTTCCCGGGTCTTGGTTG